GAAACGATTTTATTTCCATAAGTACAAACACTTAAAATTCCTCAATATAATCACCTGCTATTATTTACAACCTTATGCCAAATTACCAGAAGGCGTCGTATACCATCAGCATGTCCATTTCTGTTGATACTCCATTGCGATCGCCCGTAACCACTGAAAACGTTCTGTTAGCTGTGCTATTCCTTTACTTGGAGTGATTAAGCGATCACAATCACACTATCTCATATCAGGTGTTCCAGTATCTCCCATCGCCATATTAGCCGATGATCTGTAATAGCGCTTGCATTATGACACCGCGTGTTGTCATGGTGGATGATAGGATTTGTCGTCTGAGCTATCATCTGCATCCAACTGTTAGGAGAAGGAGAAAGTGGTGTTGGTGTTAGTGTTGGTTGTTGATGACGATTCTCATCCTCCTCCAAGACAAGATATGTAGTACGCGACAATGTATGACAGTATGCGAGCACTGTCATAGATCTCCTGCAACCGTTGCGATGCGAAACTGCGACGAAGATATACAGATACAGATTTGGTTATCGTCATTAGAGTTTTGAGAAACATCTTAACACGTTTAAGCCTGTTCTACAGAAAAGCAATAACTGGCAAGAAACCTAGATACTTTCCTAATATTGTATAAATATATTACAACACATTTCCAAAGTATACTAGTAAATTACAACATATTATATTAAATGAATTACCATATGCATATATAGAATGGTATTTTTACCTTGCCGGACAAGAGAAATTATATTACTTAATTACCAGACACAGCATATTATCTTGCATTTCATATACGCATTTCAGTATTACTTATCACAGCATATTACATATTAACCATATATCTGTACGTGTGAAAAAAATATATTTTGCAGAATAATTCTACGTACCCAAACCGAATTTTCAGTAATATGGCGACAGACACTGTACTACATACATTTTTAATCTGATGGCATTCCTAACATCAGAGATTGAGATACATAACTTATCTTATAGCAGCGTGAACTGCGGATACGGAACATAAGCAGATGAAGTACACGCAGTTATGTTTTCGCATTTCACTGTATTCAACCTAATGTTAGGAATTTTGTGCACAGATAGAGGTTTTAATGCAGTTACATGTGAAATTGTTCTATTTTTCTGCATAATGTAGCATGAAAATTTAGAGAAGGTTAGCAGTGGTTTTGGTAATTAATTATTGTTGCCTAATTCGGCAAAAATTCGCCAAGGTCTGGCGCCTGTATAAATGTAATGGGTATCGTAATTGAATAACTGTAATTCCTGCTCTATGTACCTGTAACCGTAATTCGGTCCTCATATGTCTTCCATTAATTTCTAGAAACATAAACTCTATAAATATCTCTGCGGCCGGGTGAAAACTATATAAGACCGCAGAGTGCACCTGCTCTCAGTTGTTAGTTCAGCGTGAGTTGGATTACAGAGATATGTGCGAATTAGCTTGGCTGTTTAGATGCGCTTTGCATTGTGTTGTGTTCTTAGTAGTTTGAAGTGTAATAACTGATTGTACTCTATGATACTGCGAACACCTGTACGAGTATTTCTGTGGAATGTTCCAGAACTCTGAAGCGTTTCTTTAGATTAAGTAAATTTTATCAGCCTATCATCTGAACTGTGTTCATTCAATATATTACAAACCCGTACGCATGCTACAACTTTCGTGTCGGGAGTGGGGTTGAATGCGAGTGAAAAGAGCGATAGATGAGCAGTTATGAGAACTGGTGGCAGCTTTATTACATTCAAAGAAGAGATGAAAGTAGGAAAAGAATCCCTTAAAAAAGAGATGAAGCGCGGCAAGTAAAGATGAAGATGGGTCAAGAAAAGATTGAAGGGACCGGCAAGTGCGTTCAACAAAAGACTGAATCAGGTCAAGAGAAAATAAAAAAAGAAATTACTGCCATAATGTAAAACAAATTTGAAGTTTTGGAAATCAGAATAGACACGGTTGTAAACAGAGTTGAAGAAATTGAAGATAGAGTTTCTGCCGTCCAACAACAAATAGCAGAAAATTGAAGACAGATTTTCTGCTGCTGTTACCAAGGTAGCTGAAAGTTTAAAGAAATCCATGACGACAGCTGACCACAATTCTAATGCCTTTAAATTCGAACACATGTCATCCCAGCCCTCTCTAAAGCTATCCACATATTATGAAAAAACCTCCTGGCAAGTGTACAAGACGTAGTTCTCTACATTGGCAAACGCAAATGGACGGAATTCTGAAGCAAAAGCCTTCTATATCTGCGCTTCATTGAGGGCAGACAGAGAGGGATATCCTTGAAACTCTTGCCGAATACCAGAGGCTAGACTTCGAAGCTCTGTCTGGCGCTTTTAGAGCTTCGCTTTAAGGAGAAATGTTTAAAAGATTGTGACAGGCTTTAATTAAAATTCCGTCAACAGAAGCTTACAGAAACACTCCAGGAGATCGCCACGAGGTTGAAAGGTTGTCCTATCTTGCGTTTTTGAACTGCCCGTCAGAAGCAAAAGAAATCCTGTCCCTGCACTACTTCATGTATGGTATTAGAGATCCTGAGATAGGAAAATCCCTGCGAATGTCAGGTGTCAAGGATTTTAAAACCGCTCTAGTGTATGCGATGAAATTCGAGGCAGCCCAGCAAGCAAATTGTACAGACCGCCACCCAATCAGAGCTGCTGAAGTCAAAAAGTTAGCGGATTAACTGTCCTTGAGACGGAATAGGAGTGACAAAAAGCCAATCCTAAAGTGCTGGAACTGCGGTATTGAAGGCCACGTTGAAGGAACTGCAGAACACTCTAGAACACAAAATATAAGACCACTCCCCAGTGATGACGCAAGGAACAAATTAGTGGCCATCTGGCATAGCAGATGTAATGATACAGCATTGGAATTCAGGGTTCGGTATGCCTCTTCAGTTACGTTCCGATTAAGGAAGAAATTTTACCTTGGCTGTAATTAAAAAACTCTGAAACCACTCGGCATTGACAAAACCCTCCCGATACCCTTACATCCCCAGTCAGACTGCATGGTAGAGAGGTTTAATCGAACCATCCTTAATAACCTCTCCCTGGTGATTTCCAGAAACCAACAGGACTAGGAGGGAAAGTTATCTCTGTTTTTACTGGTCTGTCGAAGGGCTATCCACGAGACTTACCGGCTATTCCCTATTCTAGCTCTTCGGTCGTCTCTTCTCTTATCCAGCTCTTCGGCCGGGACCTTCGTCTGCCTTGCGATCTCCCGTTTGGTCGCCCTCCGGATGGGCCTTCGTCGCCTGGGGAGTACATCCAAAATCTCCAGGCACGGTTTGAAGTGATGCGCACGAAAGCGAATCAGCTTGGCGACGGAGAATATGAAGGTCCGCTACGACACGAATGCTACAGGACATTGATTCAACTGACAAGGCGTGGCTTCGGAATCTGATTCGACGGAAAGGATGCTCTCCTAAGTCACCTTGGGATAATATTTACACAGTCCTAAGGAGGTTTAACGACGTCGTAGTTTCGGATCCGCAAGTCATCGAATTCTAAGCCTCGTTTCACGCAGGTACCGATGCAATTGCTCAAAAAATTTCGGTCGGGCATGTGTCTTCTCGGGAAACATTTCCTGTACAATCTTTCGGCTTCCACAGCATTCCCATTCGCAAGGCCATACATAAAATGCATGTCCGCCTTTTTTTATTACTATATGTCGACTCTTCTTAAATCCACGCTAGAAATGACGATGTGTAAGAAAACTCGCGCTTTATGCTTTCCATTACAATATCGTCTAGCAGTTCTCCGCTTGCTCTCCGCCCATGCATTGTATAGTGAAAATTGCTTGTTTAGATGTTTTCCGTCACCCGTTAAATTTTTTACCATGAGTTTTAAAACGCCCTGTATATCACTTATCCTTCTAAATGTAACTTCTAAATAACAAAACGAAGCAATAAATTAAAAAGAATTTCAAATTTAAAAATGCAGAACCTTTTAACATTAATTATTATATTTTATTGTTATTTACTATATTTTTGAAATAAATGTTGAATTACAATCGTATAATGTATAGTATCTTCTTAAAATCTATCACAGCACCATTTAATTATCTATATTTCAACCGATCATTGTAAAATCTTTAAAAAATTGGTCACTATAAACTTCTAACAAGTACACGTAAAATATTTGGCAAAATTTTTATTGATTTTTATATATTTATGAAATCTGAATTTTTAACTTAAGCAAGTACTGCAAAATTTCTTAATATTAAGTGCAGAAAAACCCATGAAACTTTCGGATATCTGTTCCAGATCACAGAAGTTATGAGTACAACGTCAAATTTTTTTCTGGAGTGATGCTTCATTTTTTAACTTCCATCGCGTAATTACCTAGCTCCTCCAATTTTAAAACAGTGTCACGCATATGCATTTAGAACAGTGTCACGCACCTTTATACTTTTTATTTTTCGTATTCGAATAACAGAACTAATGCTAAATAAATATTGTTAGCGAAGTCGTTGAAATTAACTTCTGTAAAGCTACGCTGACATGTTTCCTAATTTGCCATGAATGGAAGTTGTCTGTGCAAACAGTCGTGAGCAATGTTAGTACCGTGTAGTAATCGTGTTTCATTGCACTACTCAAAGACAAATTTGCTTAATAAAGATTTTATGTATAAGAAATGAGTGAAATAAAAAATCTGCTATTATCTAGCCGTGTCATATGATATCGTAAAGTTGAAAGTAGTTGACCTGAATTCTTTAAACAAACTTTATTGGGAAGAATATTATATCACATTAACATAGCTAACTTTGATTTTGATATTTTTTAAAATATTCACGATGTTAGCTAACAAACTGGTGTGTGTTAGGTAGTTCTAGTTATTGCAAAAATTCTTGATGCGTAATTCCGTGAAGGAAATTTGCATGGGAATAGTAAATCGATGAAATGATTTTTATGAAACAACAAGAATTTAAATTGTGAATGGAGTTATCAAATATTTCACAACAATTATAAATGAAGCTACACCGACAATCTATGGCACATAATGCTGTTGGAACATCTAGTATATCAGAGGGCATGAGATTTCCCAACTTCGTCAAAATTGCTTTCATGCCAGTCGTTCCATACTTAATGTTAAGCAATGATGGAACTGCTGCCGGAATTGAAGGACGATTTTTAAAGGTTCTTTCAGAATTCTTGAAATTTCGGTATGAAATGATAATGCCACCCGATGGAGAATGGGGAGAATTGAAAGAAAATGGTAACTGGACTGGTATCGTGGGCATGATTCAAAGGCAAGAGGCGGATATGTCGTTATTGTTTATTACTTACCCGAGACTGCAAGCACTCGATTTCACAGCACCGTATTCTACTATGAGGATGGTTTTTGCAACAGATATACCAGGACCGCTACCACGTGCAACGTTTTATATGAAGGTATTTCAAACCACTGTCTGGATTTGCTGCTTCAGTGCCATCATTTTATTGCCTTTGATATACCACTTTCTTCTGAAACAAAAGTACTCTTTTATGCGGATTTTTTTAGAAATGATTGGCACTATAGCTATGCAAGGTCTTAACGTCAGAGACAGAGCTATAAGCGATAGATTCCTTATTATATTCTGGTTATTATCGGCTTACATTTTATCTTGCAGTTACACCGGTAGCCTCTCATCCTTCTTAACAATGCCTTTAAAACAACCACCACTACGTAATTTTATTGAACTATCTGGAGCAGTGGAGAAGGGAACTCACAAATTTTATGCGCGGAATCCGTCCCCCAATATAGTTCTATTGAAGAAATCGGAATACAGCTATTTGAGGGTTCTTGGACAAGCTATAGAAAAACATCAGTGGAATGTTTATGATCACACACAGCTTTCGGAAATTATGGTTAAAAACACCGCAGTGATGCTGCCTGAGCCTGAGTTACTTTGGAAATTAGGAGGAGAGATTGGTGAAACAAAGTACTTATCGGATGATGTGCTTGCCTTGTGGTACAAAGGAATTGGACTGAGGAAAGGTTTCTGTTGCACAGCAAAATTAAATGCTATTATATCGAAACTTCATGCCTCAGGTTTGTATGAAAAGTTTATCAGAGATGAAACTTTTAAACCTACCGTTGCTCAGAATGATAATGCAACAGAAACAGATTCTGAAGGGAAGCTGTCAATGGATGATATAATGACACTTTTCACTCTTCTTATTTGTGGTTATGTCTTATCTTTCATTGTTTTATTATGCGAGATTTTTTATTTTCGCTTAAAGCAAAGTGAAAGGTGTGAAAAAGGAAAAGAAAAAAAAATTCGAAAGACCTAAATCAAAAAACAACACTCTCTCTTGATCATAAGGAGTGAATTATAAATATTTTATCAGCTGTGGCAACACTCTTTCTTACTATTTTTTTTAACAGAAATGTAGAAACAGAGAACAACTGTAAAAAGCTTCTTTCAGTGCCTAATTATTTTAAAACATAAACTTCACTACTACACTTACGTCAACCAAATTTTTCTATTTTGATGTCACTTCTGAATTTTTGAAATTTTCTGTAAAATTTTTCTGAAACAATAATTTGAGCACGTTTTTGCTTTGCGCACTTTTCCATGAGATATAAATTGCAACGTGTGAGTCATATGCATATGCAGTTAAGCGGTATATTCTGCATTCAGGCTTCAGCAAATGTATTTAATCAAATATTCTTCTACCTTTCTGTTCCTGATTTTAAAGAAACTGTGCAGACGTTTTCAGTTATATTTAATAAGCATGCAGTAATTCTTATGACAGAAATAGACAAAAGACTTCTGTATCAATACGAAGTACCTGTATTAATATTGAACATTGTGTAAATGTATTACCTAGTACTAGTGTTAAATAACGAGTGTTTAACACCGTATCCGTAAATGTCCTGTCATTATTTTCAGAACCGTTGATTGTAGATGAATCGTTAATCGCAACCGTTGATTGATGTCCTCCCACTTACAAAAGTCTTTTAAATCACGCAAATGATTGTGGTTTGGCCTTTTTAAATTCAAAGTATCTATTTGTATAAATTATGAAATCAAAGTTTTTTATACGTATAATAACTTTCTTGGTACATATAATTGTGTTTAGTAGACGTGTATAAAGTATTTTCTCCCTCCTTTCTGCATGCCTTTGTGGTGTATAAAAGTAGCACACTCGGCGCGTATTTGAGAGGTCCAGGTTCAAGTCCCGGCGAAGGTATTGCTTATTTTTCAAGTCTCTGCTTCAAAATAACCCAACAATAACTAAAAAAAACGCCCGAACTGAAAAAGGTGGTGGATGATGATTCTCCACTACCAGGATTTGGCGACTGGGTCCTCTAATCCACAGTCTCCCTTTAAAAGGGAGTGTATATAAGGTATTTTCTCCCTCCTTTCTACATACCTTCGTGGTGTAGTGGTAGCACACTCGGCGCATATTCGAGAGGTCCAGGTTCGAGTCCCGGCGAGAGCATTGAACATTTTTCAAATCTTCTGCTTAAAAATAACTTAATACTTCTGCAAGTGCACATATTCATTCAAAAATAAAACACAAAGTATTTGACTCCTTTAAAACAACAATTGGCCAAGATAAAATGAAATATCAGTTTTAAGAAAAGGTTTCTGATATTAATAGATTATGCGACGAATATTGGTATATATATTTTTTTTCCAAAAGTGATATCTCATTATCTATAACAGTAGCAGATTTCAGTATTGACAGAAAAGGAACTTGTAATTCAGTAAACAAAAAATATTTTCAAGTTTAATTTTCATAAATTAAAATTTAAAAACATTTCTAGTTCAATGATTTTTTTATCGTCAGATTATGATTCTAAAGTAATAAAACTGCATGACAAAATTAATAACACATTTTTAGCATTTCAAAGCTTGGAGATTTCCTTGCGTGAAAATTCATTTGGCATATCCTAAGTAATAAAACTGTAAATTAACGAATTTCAACACATTCGTTAATCAAAATAACTACCACTATTTGACATTAAAGAGCAGGAATCGACCTCGAATTATTAACTTATTTTCTAATTAAGTGAAGCCTCAAGGCAGGCTAAAAAAGACGGCGAAATACCAAATTTTGAAATGAATTATATCAGTAAATTTTTGACATACGGAAGTCAAAATTTTGTGTTTTCTTTTGTACAGTGAACATAAAATTTAATAAATATACTATCGAGAGAGGAGGACTATAAAAAGTTAGATTTCACAATTTTTATAAAATTCTTTTTTTAAGTTTAAAATGCTGAAACATGTTTATTTCCGCTACTAGAAATACTTTTGTAACCGGATGTATATGTCTGCGAAATTCAAATCACAGACAAGGCATAAATGTTTGTAAATGTCTAGTGTCTTTGCAGCATGGGGTCACTCTAAATATATCGTAAGCTCAAAGTCCTCTCGTTTTGTTTGATACTAAGGGAGCATAGGAGATCCTCGAGCTACCCTCTGGGATGCTCTCCTTAAAAACTTTTGCGGAAAGTGGAATGGCCAACCTCTTTGAGGATCTGCACTCATTCTCGTATGAAATATGTATTCGAAAACAACTACAACGATATGGTGGCGAAGATGGTCACACAAGGACTTTAAAGGGCACTTTATATATTGTAGAGAAATTAGGTATTTTTGCAACCAGGCAAGATGAAAAATTAGCAACGCCTTCGCCGGAAATCAAACCACGGACCTCTCAATTACGCGCTGAGCATGCAGACCAATACACCACGAAGGCTCGTTAAGAAGGCGGGAGAAATAACTTATATACTCCCCCGTTTAAAGGGACCCAATCTCCAAATCCTGTGTGAGAAGAATCATCATCCAACACCCTTATAATATATATATATATTCATAGCATTAATTAAATTTCTTTCCCTCGGAGATGATATGTAAATACCTTTTCTAATAATAAATTATATATATATATATATAACTTCTACATTCTGAATTTAAAGATTCAACGAAATTAAAAACGTAATTTTTTTAAATGAATACTTTCTGCCCAAAAGCTATATTTGAAATTTAAGTTTTAAGAATAATTGAAGAACTAACGTTTTCGTCCCTCGAAATAACATTGTCTATTGCTTTTTCGTGTTTGAGTCGTAAAAAATAACTTATTTATAAGTAATAATATATTTTTGAAATGCCCATTTATATTTTCATGAATACCTAAATTTTATCGTTATTATTGTTATTATTATTATTATTATTATTATTATTATTATTATTATTATTATTATTATTATTATTATTATTATTATTATTATTATTATTATTATTATTATGTTATTTGAAATTGATAAATTAAATCTTTAGCAATAGAAGGTAGCGAAACATTTGTTCTAATCAAAAACCAGCACGAATGAAAAAAAGGTTTAATTAGAGTTTATTTATCTCTGATATTCATTATATTTTCAGGTAAACTATCTTAATAATTTGATAGATTATTATTAAAGCAGATAGTACTTGTTATTGTAATCAGTTCATAGCAATTTACTTACTTATCCGCATAATTCTGGCTCGTCTTGCGGCCTCCATTTAAATCCAATTTTTTCAGTTGTAGTAATTAACAACGCCATTATCAATGGATTCCAAATTCTTTCTCTAAATTTGACAGGTGATCTCTCTTATTTCTGCAGTACACATTCAGAAAAAAGCATATAGTGCTACAAATGTAGTTTTCAAATTCCATTTTATATGTAATAAAAATAAGTTTAAATTGTTACATAAGCTATCATATTTAAATTTGAATAATAGAAAGAAAAATAGCTTCTTAAATTTTTAAAATTCTGTATAAAATCAAAAATTTCAACTCGCGGTAACTTCCACCTGTTTGCACCTTCACGAAATTTTGGGAGTGTCTAAAGATTGCATTAATAACAATGTTTTTAGTAACGTTTCGTATATTAAGCTATTATGCCCATTTAGTTACGTGAAGAGAAGTATTTCGAATTTCATGGGAACATGTACAATGCCAAAAAAAAAAATGGGACAGTTCTATAGCTCCCGTTCTACTGGGCCTATTGACAAAATTCAGATTGCGTGTTTCATGTCTCGAAAGCGCGACTTAGGATGTATATTAGATTTATATATAGCATTGCTCTAACATAGGTATTTTGAAACAAAATCGGACTTTTTACTAACAAACATATACGGAAATATTGTGGCGCAACGTCTCGATATTGCTGCCTTATGCAGACACTGGCAATCCACATGCCATTCCTCTTCAGACTTCCTAATATTGCTACATGAATGCTATAGCAACCATAGCAACTGATTACATATAAATTAAAAGTTACTCATCTACACATTCAAATGCACACAAAATAAGATTCTTGAAATCTATTGTTACGTATTTTTCTGGCACCAATTGTTAGGTTATTTTCTTCCTTCACGTTCGTACGGGGTTCGTGAGGATTTGGAGTGAATAATGACGACACTTGATGATGCAGTATCGAAACACACTTTATTTAGCCAATATTAATCAGGACAGCTCCAAAGTCACTTTTTACAGTCGTCGAAGATCTACTATAAACACGCTGGAACAATCAGCGACACAGCCTTCACACTGTCAGGCAATAACGGTGGAGACAGCTTCACCGCAAAGCACTAGAGTACAGCTCCCGACTCTTCGGTTCAGTCGATCCCGGAGCTTAACACTCTCTCGACGATGCACTAACCGTGATACACGCGATACACTAAGAGACTCTTCGATGCACTCGACGACCCACTCGGCACTCGCTGGGCGGCTATCAACTCGATCGTCTCCGCACGAACTAACTAGATGAGACACAAACTCGGCGTACCAGCAGGGTTCGGCTTTCGGCTTGTGTTCGAGAACATTCTGGGCTAAACCGGTAAGAATTCATTCCAGAACATTCTTCATCCGTCCATGGCATAGCGCCAATTTTGTCGCCGAATGGGCGATTTCTCGCCAAATGTGGCAACCTTACCGTCCTTTGCCAGTTTATGGCAACCCTAAAGCTGCTTTGTGGGGAAGCCAACTTACCGAGACCTGTACATTTCGTAACACTATTTTTGTTAGCTACTAGCCATAAGACCATGGATTTTAAAAAACTCCAGAACAATTCTGTAATTCCTCATAATCCTGTTTTTCCCAAACAAGAAAAGTGGGTGAATGGAAGCTTCTTAAAAGAATACTTACCATCAAATATTACTAACGGACAAAACAGTACATAACTCGATTCCCGTGGATATGTTACGACAATGAGAAACCCAAACGGTTTGGTGAACTAATAAAGCCTGCATCTAATATTCTGCAACTTGGTCAAATGAGGTGTACTACTCAGTAGTTATTCAGAATGTCCCAAATACAAACATACTCAAATCGACTTCATCACAATATTCGTAATAATGAAGTACCAGCATCATGATTATATTCTGCCATGTGAAATGTATTTCACTACAGGAGGCGCTGAAATTAACCTTCTGTTGCTAGGCAGGCAGGCTATAAGAGCAGGGCACAAGCCAGTTCTTCTTAGCTTATTCTACTGTTCAATGAGTTTCTGTATAGCGAGTGTCCTTGGTTAGTGATGTAACGTGAAATTTATCTTCAGATTTGTCTTGACAAATTTTGAAGGAGGTATGTTTTGCATGCAACACTACAACAAAATTATTTGCTTTAAGTTTAATACTTCATGCACTGAACGTTCTCTCATCTTCTTTTATAACCTCCTGCCACGTTAAAAATAACAAATAAATAAATGAAAATATTTCCTAAGACTTGAATACAAAAATAGAAAGAATACAAAAGAATACAAAAAAGATTTTCTTAAAAGTAAAACACAAGTAAAATTAGCATGATTTTCCGTTCAATTTGGGCCTACCAGCGGTCGAGTCGTTGAACACTGGTAGTTTGGTACGAGGTTCCAATCCCGCGAATAGGCTGGATGCATGGGCGTTTTAATAGTTTCCCCCATGTGTAACATGTATACGAGCCAGTTTCCCTTAAAACGTCCTCCACGAAGACATTCCTCCCCTTAGGTAGATAGCCCTCGAGCCGTAATTACATAAAACCAACCATTCAATTTGGGTCTTCCTTTATTTCGAACATTCTCTATAAAGTCCCTTGTGCTGATGCTATTCTTAAAGAGTTGTTATGTTCTAGTGAACTTGTAAATACGTACACATCAAGAGTTCTTTTAAGCATGTAACTTTACTTTCACGTACTTTAATAATACATTTTTATCAGGCATCTTGGTATGCATATACATGTATATAATACTTCTGAAGATTAAAGCATAACATGAAACCTTTGTTCAATGATTAAAAGTCTCAAGTAATATCTACAATTATCGTGTAATTATTTATGTTAATGGTCTGCAAATGAATGCAAAATTGAGCTTCTGCACGTAATTTTAGCGTACGAAATATGCAAATCAGGTGACTGATAACGCGTTGCACTGAATAGAATTTGGTATGTGTAATGTTGTTTAATGTAGTTTCTAAGAGTGGTCCTTATTTATTACTTATGACCTAAAAGCAATATTTAAGTGAAGGACAGACGTGGCAGTTTAGTAGAGGTTCGTTAAGGGAGTCAAACACAAACAGAGGTCGTTCAAGACCTGTATGTTCTTCATAGTGTAATAGGGAACTCAAAAAATCTTCCTTAATTAGTGACAAGCTAATTAAGGGGTGTTAGAAACCTCTATATCGACAATGTTAAATTTGCCATTTTCGATGTACCTTTTCTCAAAATCTGCTGTAGATACACGCTTGAAATATTTTGTGTAATTAAAATATACTTATCTGATTATACTGAAATGAGCTTTTGAAACATTTTGAAATTTAGAGTAATTTACAGAATATTTTGTTATGCATAATAAAATTTAGCACTTTTCTCACACACACACACAAAAAAAAAAAAAAAAAAAAAAAAATTATTTTTTTCCCTTAGTTTATCACAAAAAGCTCATTTCAGTAAATATAAGGAAACCTAAGAAATAAGTCATAAAATTTAGATACCTGTGAGCAGGCACATCGAGTATAAAAAAATCACGTTTGGAGAAAAACGCGTTTTTATGTAAAAATCCTAATTTATCAAAGCATTCAATGACAAATTAAAACTCGATTCTTTACAGTTTTAATTTTCATAGAGATTAAAGAATGGTATTTTTAGAAAGATAAATGTGTAGAGAATTTGAAAATGCAAAAATCCAAAATCACCATTTTTTGAAGATTTTTGGGTTCCAAACGCCAACAACACAACAAAGGCGATCAAGAGCAACAATTGCATCCGAAGATAGTTATCAAGACACGACTAAAACAGAGTTGATTTTAGACATTTAGGCTGCTACGAGCTCGAATGAGTTGCTGCGAAGGATTAAAAACAAATTGGGGCTTTACTCGAGAAAACCAGTAGTTTGTATCTCACTCACTCCAGTTTCCAAAGAAGGGCGTTTAAAATGGCGTCGTGGTCATGTTAAATGAAGGAAAGAGGAATGGGTTGTGTACTGTTTACTAATGAGTATAGATATAGCCTGAACTGTGCTTCTATACGTCTTTTGAACTAAAAGAAGAAAAAAAAAACACACACAACTTGCTTTCCTTTATTTCCGAAAGATTCGCTTTCCATGAAAGCGATTTCATGGTTTAGGGTGGTATTATCAAAAAATGGCCACAACGATCTACATCTCTTTGATAGAGATTCTGTAACCTTCCACAAATGCATGGACACGGTTCTGGACCCCATGTAAGGACGATAACAGGTACCATTGCAATTTAGTTTTTGCTAATGTATGACTACGCTCATCCTCATCGAGCATATCTCGTGTCAGAAATTTGGATGTAGAAGATATAATTCAAACGGCTTGGTCAACTTGCTAACTTGAATCAGATCACGCATGCATGGAATGCCTTGATTACGCATGCTTCCAAATTGCAACAACTAGATGCCTCCTCGGACCCTACAGAATTTAAAAAAAGGCACTTTCGGAATTTTGGCAAAACAGAAAGAATCATTTGTTTATTTTAAAAGTTTATGAATTTGACTTTAAATTCAGTATTTTCAGATTGTAAACACGGTAATTTATGTTAAAGAACGCTTTTGTACAAATTGTTTTAATCGTTTTTCAGCATATGAATGTTAAGTTTCATTTCTGTCAATATCCTTTTATTTTGAATAACAATAAATTTACTTCATTCTTCTAATGCAGCTGCGTAGTAGGACATCATTCTGATTATGAATCTACAACCCAGGGTGCTTTCCACTTGTCTCTATCCTATCATTACGGTCTGCAATATTTTTATACAATGCAGTAATGCATCAGGACTGTGCCTATATCTTAGTGACATAGGTATGGTGTCTTATTTACTTACTCCTGTTCTGTTCACAGTAATATTGGCTTAATAGAGCCCTGAATGAGAATAAATGGGAAAGCCTGAAATGGAAAAGCCTAAAATGAATTTTGCAAACAAATATAATAATTCTATCTGTACATTTTAAAGTAGTTACTTATTATTATTATTTAAGCATTTTTATACTATTTCTACTAAAAATGGAAAAGCCTAAAATGAATTTTGCACAAACAAATATAATAATTTTAACTGTACATTTTAAAGATAGTTACTTTTTATTATTATTTAAATATTTTATATGTATTTAATTATTTAAACATTTTATATGTAAACTATGTTAATTTTCTTTATTCAGGTAATGCCTTGAACACAAAATTATTAAGATGAAAGATTGTGAATCTTTCTATTAAGATTATCTACTCTTATCTATTAAGATGAAAGACTGTGCATTCACAAATATTATCAAAAATTTCTGACAAATGATATTTTTCCGTTTATACTTTCAAAGAGTGCAGCATTTATCAATAAAGCAAGACTCGCGTTACAGATTCTGTATGAATATCGATGTCAAAGGGAAAAGCTATGAGAAAAACAACAAAATATATCACTGAATAAACATCACTCCCTTCCTGAAATGCTTAAATAACATCAGAAGGAGAGAATAAACAAAGATGCTTCCAAAACAGGGAACTGATAACAGGAATACCATAAAATTCTAAGCAAAGATCGGGCAACGAAGAATTCAGGGAACAAAAAGATTTCGAAAATAATAACAAAATATTGCGCAGAAAATAAGTATTCTTGAACCAAATATTGTTTTTGCATATGTTGATTCAGAGAAAAGAAATAAATAACATAATAAGAATAAATAAATAAAAAAGGAAAAAAAAACTTTCGTTAGGTAGCTCCAATTCTTATATAAACAAATGGAAAAAGCATCAAACATTCGGAAAGAAATAGTATAAAAATGGTTAACTAATAATAAAAGGGCATCTTTAAAATTTTATTTGCAAATTTCATTTTAAATCTTTCTGTTATGTTAATGCAAGATTTTTGCACCTAAAATTCAGCCTTAGATTAACGTTATTTTGCAAAAGAAATTTTTTAGAGAATTAGGATCCCACCATTGGCATTGTGGTTAAGCCTAATGAATAATGGCAATTAAACGTGGGTTCGGACCCAGGCGAACAGGCGGCCTGCATGATTGGTTTTCTCCATTGATAACGTAAATAAAAGCCAGTTCTCCTTAGGAAAGCCCTCGATAAAAAGCATCCTTAGGCACATAGCTTTCCAGTGCTTTGCAATATTCATTCTCAAATTACTTTAGAAAACTAGATACAGATCCGTTATTTTAATATTTACAGACGATACAGGCAACTAAACATTTTCTGAGATATGATGACTCACATTATAATTTTAATGTTAAAGAAGAACGTATTACCTAAGAGGATGCGAAAAAATTATCTTTGCTTTAAACAAAGGTTGTCGATCTTCAACTGGAAATTGACTCTTCATGAGTTGGTGACTCTCACAGCTCCCGACAGTCGTTCCCGGAGCTTAACACACTCTCTCGACGGTGCACTAACCGCGCACTAAGAGACTCTTCGATGCACTCGACGACCCCTCGACACTCCCTGGCCGGCTGTCAACTCGATCGTCTCTCGCACGAACTAACTAGATGAGACACACTCTAAGACAAAACTATCAGCTTGCTATACGAGACACACACTGACTGCGGACCAGCAGGTTTTATATAGCTTGTGGTTTGTGTTCGAGAACATTCTGAGCTAAACCGGTAGCATATAAGCAAAATGTACACTGCTAGGACAACGGCTTGAGTTGGCCAATTACAATCCAGATAAGGGTCACCATTATCTCCGCCCACATGAGTGATGTCACATTTCTGACGTTTGTTTACATTCTGCTGCTCGGCGTTACGAAGTGCGTTCTTTCAATGAAAAAAATTTTTAATCTGCAATGTAAATTTGCTCTAGTGATGCTATTTTTTTAATTGTTCTTTAAAGTATTATTTCTTATTGTTCCAGAAGAAATATAAATTTATGTCACAAACTTTACAAAATTTCTTTCTATATGCGTGTGTGTGTGTGTGTGTATATAAGCGTGCATGTGTATACACACATACATATATTTTCAATATATACTCGTATGTGAATTATATGTATCATTATATGTGTGTGTATGCATAAAATATGAGTGAGTGTGTGTATGCATGTATTCATTTTTCAGGATGTCAGATTTCTAGCGAATAATCTAGAAAGCTTTTTTTCTCTTAATTTTTCACATCTTCACATTCAGTTTTTTCAAATAAGATGAATGTATTTATATTTAATATTTCTTCACAACTTGATTTATCACTTAAAAATACATTTATTTAATTTTGGATAAGATGGAATGTGAATTCCAGCAGCATTTTTAATAGTAGAATAATTTCTCTAAAGAAGCTTTTGTTTTTATTTTTTAATTCCTTTAAAAGAAAATTACTTAATAATATTAGAAATAATTAATCTATTACTTCTTACACATGTCTTAAATATGTTAATGGAAATTTTCATTCAATAGCTTTATAAATTTATTTTATGCAGTATGTTAATTTAATAAGAACAAGTATTGATAAATGAATTTCCATTGCTTTTCTTATACATTTAGTTTAGAATTCAGTTTTCAGTGCATGTAATTATTCTCCTTCATGGCCCTCCACACACAGCCCAAAAGCGGCTGACTGGAACGCTGATAGTTCGATCTGAGTTTGATTCCAGGTGGATAGGCTGGTTGCATGAACACTTACCTGGTTTTCCACATGTGTAAACATGGATATGAGTTTTTTTGGGAAGGGCTTAGAAATTCCTCTACAAAGAAATCCCTCCCACATTAGACCCTGCATGCTTTCCATAATCAAATAAACCAAACCAAACCAACCCTCCAAGCAAAACAGCTCCTCAATAGAAATTCTTCATATCTGTCAAGCAAATGACATTCACTAATGTAATAAATTGTCATTATACACAATCAAAATCGAAAGTGTTATTAATTATGCTTACAGAAACAAAGTACTTAATACCAGATTTTGTTGAATTATTCGCATTTTTAGAAATAGTTGAATAAATTTCTTACCTTTAATAAATAGAGCGAACCCTCTCTAAAATGACCACCAGCAGTTCTACATGGTTTTAATTTTGTGTAGAGCTTGTTACCTCAAAGAGAAGATGTTCAGTACCAGAATTTTTTTTATATTGAGGAGAAGTGTCAGTTTCAGAAGTAATCACAAAGAAGAGGTTTGCCATGTTAAAATGATAATCTGTTCCTAACGTTTTCGCAGGGTTTGGTTTATGTGATTATGGCGATGCCTCGAGGGCTATCAGCCTAAGGAGAGGGATGCCTTTGTGGAGGGCTTTCTAAGGGAAACTTGTTTGTACACATTACGCATGGGGAAAACCATGAAAACATCCATGCAGCCAGCCTGTTCGCAGGATTCAAATCTCAGAGCAAACTACCAGTGTTCAGCGACTTTACTGCTCGCCATCCCGATGGGCAGCTTTTATGCAGGGAAGGAAGTGTTTTCTAAGTGTAGGACATAACATATCGGTCTAAATGCTCCACATTCAGATTTGATCTAGAAAATGAATAATGTTGAAGCTGAAATTAAAATTATATAAATTTGAATGCCATGCATGTAATGGGAATCTCAAATTTAGTTTCCTGCGATGTGATTTTTTTTTAATGTAAAGAGCAGGCTCTGGTGTATATATATATAAATTTTAAATATAGCATGAAGTTTTATATTTGAGTATAATACTGGAAAATACGAGAAAATAAATACATATGTTTTCTTCACATATTATGGAATATTCATTCCTGACCTAGGAGAACATGAAGTTACACAATTTCAAATCCACTAGAAAAATGTATGATAGTCACAAGTTTGACAAAAGATTCTTTTCTCAAATGATAAAAAGGCTTTGGAGAACATAGATGTTAATTAGAAATGTGTGCTAAATACGAGGTCATTGCCATCCACATAAATGAACTGCAATAATTTTAATACTGTTTAGGTTCTTATGCATTATCCCTTTGACTGGCCAAGTAGCATGATTTAGTGCCAATTATGGATGACTGTGCCCTTTAGTAATTCCATAGAAATGATTGGCGCTTGGTTACCATAGCCCAAATTTCCACAAACGATCGGTGAGATATTACATAAGTATCCTATTTTATATTGACATTAATGAAAACTAAATATTTTATCATATACCTTTCTACTAAAAAAAAAAATTTTGGTCCTTGGTTTTGTTTGGTTTATTTAATTCTGCAAAGCACTCGCGTGCTATATGCTTAAAAGGAGGGATGCTTTCGTGGAGGACTTTCAAAGGAAAACTGGCTCTTATACACATTACACCTGAGGAAAACCATGAAAGCGTCCACGCAGCCAGCGTATTTGGCAGGATTTGAAACCCGGACTAACTGCTAGTGTTCAGCGACTTTACCACTCGGGTGCTGGTGGTCTGGCCATCGGTGCTATTAAACTAAAATTCATCTACACTCATGTCCATAAATTAAGGATAATTCGGAGTCACGTGAAAATCGAACTCTAAAATAAATATATCACCTGTAAAATCACTACACACCTGTAAAATCACCTCTAAAATAAATATATCACCTGTACAATCTTCAAGAATCATATGCAAATTTCAGGAAGTAACCAGATGACACAGATGGTACGTCACAATAACGAGAGTGTAAGAGAGTGATATATAAGGAATACAGGCAAAGAAGTAAAATTGTTCGCAGGCGCTTTATAAGCATTTCAGTGCAATAATCGAACAGTTATGACACAAAGGATGCATTTGGATGATTTTTTTACGTGGTAGAATTATCGGCCGTCTGGAATGTGGGCGTATCCAACTGGAAGTATCAGACGAACTTGGAATTGCCCAGAGTGTCATCCCCAGGCTTTGGCAACGATTCAAAGATAATGGTAATGTGAGTAGACGTTACAGCACAGGCAAAGAATCTCTAAGGAGAAGAAGTAAAGGTTCCCCGGGGCAAATGTGGCTCCGTCAGACCGAAGAGACACATTATGTATATCCCTGAAGTTTACTTTAAAGGGGCAAACCATTCCAATGCTATCCACCCTCCGTACCTCACTGCGCATGTGCGAAATAACATCAGGAGGCCACAAAGCAGCATCAAAGAATGCAGCATGCCGTCGGCCATGTTAGCAATCTTTTACCACGTTGTTCGAAAACGTTCTTTGTTGTTGTAGTCAGAGGTACTTGGTTTTAGCTATGTGAAATTCTTTTAAAGGCCTTTTTAAATGTAATGCTGTAAGTGAAATGGTTTTGGCTATTGGGTGAAAACTTTGCTCTTGGTTTTCACAAAGGTCATTCCAAATAATTGTCTAAACGTTTTCATGGTAATTTGTTTTTAAAGTTGTTGTCGGATAATTATAATGTATTTCGGTGTTTTCAATTTATTTAGGGGTGCCTTTAATTGTCTTTAAATATTTTTTTCTGTTTCAGTTAGTTATTGCAAATTTTGCTTTTAAAATTTCACTGTAAAATTTTAACTATGGATCCATAAAAATTATTACGTTTTGTATGGCATGTGTTTTCCTCCCTTTTTAAGTTTACAGAAGAAAAGAATTAAGAAATTTATTTCATTAAATTTTGTCTTCGTACGGCTCGCTGTTTAAATTGAAATAAAAATTGGACAGGATTTCTATAATTCGTCCCCAAAATTCCAACTAACATCCTTTTGCTCATAAAACTCCAGAAATGTATGAAAATAAAACATTTTGAGTTATTTCAAAGTAAAAAATTTACTATCTCCTCGAACTGCGCTGTTTAAATTTCACCCTGCGCTGGTGTTTCACTGCATAGCCGTGGCTCTTCGCTACAGCGGGGCAGAGGCGAAACAGGTTTACATTGCGTCTATGGAAGCTTTTATTCTTCTCCTTACAGATTCTTTGGCACAGGTCGCCCCAGAGTTACAACGACGAATGAGGACCGGTATTTGGCAGTTACTGCCAAAAGAAACAGGCGGAGCACAGGCTAAGACTCTCGTCAGCTCCCTTCAGCCACTGGTACGACAATTTCCAGGCACACCGTGTTAGGGTAGATTGGTCTATATGCTCGTAGACCTGTCAGATGCAATCCACTTACTGCAACTCACTCTCGCCTGCGGTTAGGCTGGAGTAGAGAGATGCATTGTGGACACCGCGACAGTGAGCTTGTGTGATGTTTTCTGACGAGTCCAGGTTTAGCTTGCAGTCTGATTCTCGCCGGACTTTCATATGGAGAGCTCCAGGTACCCGTTACTACCAAGAAAACATCATTGAACTACACCGTCACGGTGGTGCAGGAGTGCTCGTTTGGGGTGGAATTATTCTGGGTTCCAGAACTGACCTGCATGTTCAAATTCGAACCATGACAAGCCAAATCTATCGGGAAGTCATTCTGGAACAACATGTACGTTTGTTTCGGGCCGCCATGGGCGCACAATTTGTGTTTATGGATGACAACGCCCGTCCTCACCGTGCAAACATCGAAAGCGAATGCCTTCAATCGGAGGATATCACACGTATGGACTGGCCAGCATTCTCACCGGACTTGAATCCAGTAGAGCACGTGTGGGACATACTTGGCCGACGAGTTACAGCCCGTCAACCTCCTCCTACATGTCTACCGGAACTTCGGAAGGCATTGCTTTTTGAGTGGTGTAATATCCCCCAAGATCAGATGG